TTCGGAATACATTCGCGGTCGCTCGCGAGAAAAGCTGGCGATGCCCACGCTTTACGTTTCAATCACTCCGATAATAGCCAAACCGTCTCTAGCGGCCGGTACCCGCTCGCGGTTTCGACGTGTCCGAAGTCGCTTCATCTCGTCGATAAACAGTCGACCACCGACGATCACCGCAACCGTATCCGTTCGACGGTTCCTCGACTCTTCTCGCTTCGTATGTATTATATGTACGTATGTGCGCATCGAGAGAGGTTGTGTGTGAACCCGTTACCAGCCTGGACCTCTCGTTGCCGCTCGCTTTTACTCGCCTAAGTGCCGTGATTACGCCCGTGACCGGAATCGAGACCCTGGGCCCACTGCATCGCATCGTATTGGTCGAGTACAGAAAGTCGAGGCTGCTTCAGCGGAATTTCAAACAGTGGCAGATCTCTTTCACGGTACATGTCTGTTTATCGTGGCAGCCGTCGCCATTAAGATCGAAACCAGACAGAGAAAACTATCTTGGGTAATCGAGGTGTAGGATAAAAATCTTCTTCGCCCGAAGCGTTAGAATTCTCAGACGGTTTTAATGTCTGAGTCTGCATTGCATCAATGAATAAATGAAATTAGTATAATTAAATAAGTAATAGAAATTGGTGGCATTAATTAATAAACAGCCTTAATGGAAAGACTGACAATTAATTCATAATTACAGAAATAATTTTTATTTAATTATACACACATATGCACTAATGTAAATAGCATTGCAAATTTTGGAAGATCAATCTGGCAGTAATTGCAGCTGCAATACTCGTTTGAATTCCCATAGTAATAATATCTTTCGATCTTGCTTTGTACGACGAATAGATTGTACATAAAGGAGGTTATCAGAATTGGATTCATAATAATACGTACGAGAGAAAGTAATAGATTAATATAAATTTATTAAACTAGCTTTAAAAGCTGGATGATATAATACTGCATATTAACATACTTTATATAATTCGGTATTTTAATTGAACGTACATGCATGGTTCATTATGCATAATTCTGAGAATGATGTTATCCGCGCAGAGCTTTGTAGTTCAATTCAATAGTAACCTTATTCACATATTCCATGTTCTCGATCTAAGAGAATCCCGGAAGCAGATAGCTGAGCAAATTACCAGACTCCATGAAATCCTAAGATATTACTTATTATTAACACATCTCCAGTGCATACGTTATTTCGAGACAAAATTCCAGTCGAAAATTAAAGAGAAAATGTTTTCTCGCCTATTTTTCTCCATATGTAAAGTTCGAGATTAATTTATATATGGAACTTAGTAATCTCAAACCAAGAGATACAGTTCCGAAAAATTAATTTTTCGCGCTTGGGCTCTATTGGCCGATTTAAAATTCATGTATTATTATTACTAATAATATTGAGAACCGACATATATTTCTTATCTGAAAAAATGTTTTGTCAAACAATTTTCTTTATAACTATTCCGAGAAGTAAATCTGCGGATATCACTTTCCTCAGCGTATCACGTGTCTCACGTCGAACATTATTATCGGGAAACAAATCACGCGACAGTTCAACGTCGCCGTTAAAGCGGTGACTTCCGAATCACCGATTGCGTTCGTAAATCAATTCGCCCTGATAAGAGAGTCGCACGGGAGGGAGAAACGATCCGGTTAAAGTCTACTCTGTCCCGGCGGAGTAGGCGATTACTGTCGCGCAAGAACGAACTACGATCTACCGTGGTGCATTCCGTGCAACAGCCGGCGACCCGTTACGGCCGATCCCGATGATGCTGCGAGGCGTTCCGGCAGGAGAAGATGACCAGATTGCAGGTTTCTTCGTGCAGGAAGTCATGAGATGCTTAATTGCGTTTGTCACGACCCCGCATGGCGGTATATCTATCTCGATGTGTTTGGCTCTCTTCCTCTATCTTTCTCGAGTCGTGCCGAAGCAATAACAATGCCAGGATAAATTAACCAGTAGGCGGTACGGCCGACGCGACTGACTGAGAGCGGCTATAAAACCGATCTTGTAAGGAGAGCTCGCCCCAGGTGGCCAGTTAACCGCTTAACCTTTAAAAAAAAGATATATATATGTCTATAGACCTATTCTCTCGGAATCCCTTCGCCACCCTCTGCTGGATCCACTACTTTTCTCCTCGTGAACGGGTCATCCTCTCGGACAGCGAACCTTCGATACGCACGTCGCACGCTCCGCGTGCCATTTATCCTGAACTACGACGGGTTTATTGTGATTTACGTAACGGACGAAGGAGAGCGATTGCTTAATCTTTTGCCTCCCGATCGGGGAAGAGACGACGGATAGGGAAGAGATTCGTGTCGGTGCGGACGCTAACTGATGGAAATCGTTGCGTACGAAGATGCGCGCGTATTCGCGATCGCAACATTTATTTCCAGACGAGATGCATTATCGAGATGTCGATCCCGCGGTAGATAAATGGGCGAAATTGTTTCTCGGAGCGACTGCTATTCGTATCTGTATATATGCCATTCTGCGCTCTTTGTCGTCTTCTTAATACTCGCGATGGAGCAAAGATGCAAGAACACCGGGATTTCCAAGTCATTGCGCAAAGTATTTATTGTACGCATGATTAGGAATTTGTCGGGCTTTAATAATTTTTTAAATCGAGACATCGCATATCTTTTTGATATTAAGTATTTTTAATTTACATTAAGATATTTAAATTCTAGATAAAAAAATAAATAAATAAATATTAGGTTACTGTTAAAGTAATTAAGAAATATTGAAAAATGATTTAAAAATAGATTCAATAGATAATAAAAATAAAGGATAATTGAATGGAATAAAAAATAGATTGAGAAAGAGGAGAAGAGAAAATGACTGATGCACATCAGATCATGATATAATGTATTACATTTTCATATCATGTCATAAGAGGCAACAATCCGCAGTAAAGTCGTCGTATCAGAGAAGATTACATAGACTACCGCGAGAGATTCGCGGATAAGGGATGCGTTTAAAATGCATCCCCGGACGTTTGGGGATTTCTTTGGGCTATCCCGCTTCTCTCGCCGTCCGTTCAAGGAGAAAAAGTCAACAACGCGCCGGTAAACAGGGAGCAACGTAAATTCTCAGCCTTGTCTCTAGGTATTATTCAGGCTTAGTGGATGCTACAGCCACGACCGTGGAGGAAGCTCAGTCTGCGAGCTCAAACAAACGGTTCTAATCCGTTTAACATAAATACCACGTGGTTTAATTAAATCGCGCACCGCAAGGTAATCGTCCCGGCGTTGTCTATACAGACACACGGCTTTTTCTTCCTTAGGCATCAAGATTATACCGCGCGATGGATCGATATTTCTTCATGATGCAACGCTTCTTAATTCGGAGAGAGTCTATAGCAGAACTGCCGCATAAACTTTATTTTGGTGAATGCGCGATCGAGTTTATATTTTCAGCGTTTCATATTTATTATTTCTTATTATTCACGATACTTTAATATCGGAGCGCCATTAATTATTTTCTATAAAAATCGATAGTAACTTGTTAATTTTTAACGAGATATATAAAGTAAGAAAATTTAGTCCTCATTAAAAATAATTTTAATTATAAATAAATCTCAAGACTGTCTTTTTCTCTTGAAACATGGTAAAAATTTTCCCGCCATAATTAAAAAAAATTGCAATATTAAAATTCTATTTAATAAATGTGTGATTTTTTTTTGTTAGCACTCGAACGTTATTGTTCAATATTCCATACATTTATTGTATATCGACATTTTCAGCGATAAACTACTCGATGTTACAAATTTTCCTGATCATCTCTATAATATTTTAGTAACATTGTCTCGAAGACAATGTAAAATAATCTCTACAGGCCGCATTCACAGAGTGTCAGCGTAATAATTTTCGTCGTAAACTATTTCTCGAGCGATGGTTGTACGAGGATGTTAACAGCAGGAACAACGAAAACGACGTCGACGACGACGCGCTTAAAATAGTAAGGAAAGGGAGATGAATTTCCCTACTCAGGCTAATCTCGTAGAAGAGACGGTCCTTTGTAAATACTTCGGGGGCTTTGTCTGAAGTTACTGCGGGAACGAAACTCTCGGGCTTCTATCTTAATCATTCGGCTAACGCAGTGCTCGCAACCCGTCTTACCCGCACGATTAGAATCTCGCGCTACGTTTTTCCGAAATGCTGTATAGTGCGGAGAGACGGTGTATGTATTCCCTCTCCCTCTCGAAGCAGGACCCCGAAGAACGAGAAATTGACGATCTCCATGGCGACCCTTGCCGCGTCCTGAATATCTTATGCACGAGCCCATTAGCTGCAGAAACGTCGCGAGAATAAATGGCAGCCGCTTTTAAGGAACTCGACATTCTATAGAATAGGAGAGACGCGCGCTCGCTCTATGAAAGGGAACGTTACACTTTCATGCAAAAATGTGTGTCCTCCGCGATAGCGGATTTGTACGACGATCGTAATAAATTATTGCGTCGTTTGTAATCGATGTCCGGACTATTGCTACCGCGGATCTCATTATTTTTCGTTCGCATAAATTGAATTCACCGAAAGTAATTTGCGTAATATTACATTATAGAGGAAAAACTAGAAAATGTAGAATGGGATAAAAGTTTCAGGGGAAAAAGAGCGAAATGTAATACCGAGAGATGTGTGACTTTAACTTTTTTTCTCAAATATAAAATTCTCTCTGATATATATATTGCTTTATAGAAATATATTTTTTATTTATGTCACTAGAGTTTATGTACACATATTTTGTTTGCTTTTTTTAGATGCGTTAAAATCAAAAAACATAACGAATATTGCGCTCGTATCTTACTCCTATACTTTTTATCCTTTATAACCTGGCAGATGATAGGAAAAGTTTGATGCAGCTAATGGAATGTGTATGACTTTTTGATATAGCTAATGGAATGTGTGCTCTCTTCATCAACGTGCGTAGATTCAATTTGCTTCTAATAAATTTGCAGTAATAATCACATCTACGCTCTATTTTGTTTATACAGGTGGACACGCCTGACAGTGTTCTGCAAAGTGGTTTAGGACTCGGACCCGATATGGGACACACGATTCTTCGTTCGATGGTGGATCCTAGAGATTACGATCGACTGAGATATTTACAGATGAATGGCGGACAACCAAACAGTTTCGAAGAAACCATACATAGGGTAAACTGCATTTTTACTCATATATTTTATTAAATAAATACCTAGAATCATTCATATCGCATCTCGAGAAAATAATTTTAATTTAATTTTACTTGTACATCATTCGAGTGCTATTTTTCAAAATATCGGACAATTTCTAAAATTATAGCAAAGACGGAATAGATAATAATTTATATTAGTATAACAGAAATCTTGCGAGTGAAAGGCACTTGCTCTTATATAATCCATCGTGATCCTTGAACTCACAGTCTCGGAATGTTCGAAGTCACTCGCGGGAAAGTCGTCGATAAAACCTTTTTAAACGAAACTTAAGAACGCTTCCATTCCCTTGCATTTTTCAGCTGAAAGTTCAAGAGGCGCTACGAAAGAAAGAGCGATTCCACAAAGAGCACGAGGAGGTGAGTGCATCTTAAATCCACATTTATCTTTCTCGATTCTATAACGAGATTTTCGGGAGAAATCCGCAGAGTTTTTTTTACTAACGAACTTACTTGTAAAGGACTCTCTCCCTTGCGGGAAAGGGTTAACGTCGAGATGCGCCGCGATTAGATTCGCTCGATCCCTCTCTCTCTCTCTCCCTTTTGCAAACGAAAGTAAATTTATCTTTCCTCTCCCTTTAAGTTACCCAATGGTTCTTTCGTGAAGATATATCCGCGTTTATTCGCGCACGCGCAACATTCGCGAGCGACAATTTTCGTTATCGTGCGTGCCGATCGTGATAAGGGTTCGCGCGCGCGGTATCGCGATTAAACCACCCCGTGGCTCGTTTATTTTCTTCCTGCGATTCCCTCGTGCATTGCCCGGATCATCGGCAACCCTCTTCTCGTCGTTCGACTGATATTGGCCCTGGGAGCAGCCAGTAGCCTTATCCGATACAATCCTGCCTCCCGCATCGGAATTCTCGCAGGACCAAATTTGCATATATGCGCTATCACCGAGGCCACCTCTTCTCGATCCTGCACCGACGATTTTCCTCTACATATATGTATGCATGTACGTGTATATGTCGCTGTCCCCCTCCGTTTTACGAGAGCTCGTTCCCCGCTGATCTTTCGCCCTCTTCTTCCTCGGACTGTCTTTCGCCAACTCGATACCTCTTATTATGCAAAACAGCCAGATCAGCGCGATATCATCATAATCGTCAATGCATATCGCGACGGTTGCACCATGAATTTCTTATGCATCTCGCGATCCCGCGATATTCGCATTAGAGTTTTTCGTGTTTCGCTTATTTTCTGTTGTTGAGGTTTCGCAGCTTCGTGGTTTTCTCGTTTCTTCTTGTCTCGCGAACTGTAACATATCTTTGTAGATATCTTTTGTCGTTTATCGCTGATGATATTTGATTATTTGATTAAAATGAAAATTAAGGGAGATCGTGTAATTGAAGAATACTTTGTTGAAACATCGCGTTTGAACGATAAAGTTCGATGAAGATGCTTGACTTTAGAAATTTTAGTCGAGAAACGAGGGGAAATGCAAAAGTTACAAGAATTATCAGGATAGAATAATTTTACGATAAAATCGGAGATAATTTATTGTCGAGAATTCTATGAAAATTTTAATAAACAAGTCTTTTAATTATATTCCATCAGCTTGACCTGAATTCCTTCAAAATTTATTTTGCTAAGCAATACTTTATCCTTGTCGATTTTTTATCGTAATTCTCGATAAAAAAGTTTATCGTCGTTAATTTATCTGTGATAAAAGAAGAAATATACATATACATATATATATATATATATATATATATATACATGTATAAATATATGTATATATATAAGATGCAATTTAATTCGACCAAAAACTGGCTATTCATTTATTGAAAATAAGTACACACTATGTTTCGACTCACATTGTGGTCCTTTTCAAGTGTTGTTCTTATTCAGCAATTACATTAATTAAAAATAGAAACATAAAAGTTAGTTAACAGATTGTCGATATGACAGGACAACTTTCATGTTTTTATTTTTAATTAATGTAATTGCTGAATAAGAACAACACTTGAAAAGGACCACAATGTGGGTCGAAACGTAGTGTGTACTTATTTTCAATAAATGAATAGCCAGTTGGTCGAATTAAATTGCATCTTATTATTTGTGAAAATTTTATCACTGGCGATCAACAATTAATTGTGAAGATGTATATATATATATATATATATATACATGTAAGAATCGAGGATTTTCGTTTATTCTGTTTCGCATCGCTGTGTATGTAATATTATTTTTCGAGCGTGTTTACGAACCGGTCGCAACGGGAGTTTATTGTTCGAAGACCTATTGTCTTGGCTCGTGTTATTCGAGGCAGTTTTTGCTCTAATCCGACGTGCGACGGTTAGTCACGTAAATCTAAAACACTCGATGTGTCGTCTCCTGAATGGCCCGTACGGGAAGGATATAAATTCTCTCTCACGATTCTTGAAGGGAGAGCGCCGATTTTCGCGAAAGTAGAAGCATGTAAAGTATCCGATTTTGTATAATCGCTCGAAATATATTTTCTTGTTCGATCTTAAATAAATTTTAATAAGTAAACCTACATACATGGATATATGTATGTAATAGAAGATATAAATCAACTATTTGAAAAGAAACTCATCGGGATATAATGTCGCGCGCGCGGCTTTATTAAAAAATTAACTCCGTTAAAAAGTTAGCCGAACGTGCCGTATAAAAGTTATCGCAACTTTCCCTTCTCTATTGCTGTTATCCGCGAAATGCTATTATTTGTTGACAAAGTTCCATCGCAATTTCGCAATTTTCTGATAAAAGAATTAAATATTTCGACAATTACGTAAACAAAAATTTTTATCGCAATTATTATAATAATACAAATGCAAATATACTGTTGTTAGACGTTCAAAATTTTTGTATTAGAATTAAATTTTACGAATTACAAAAAATATTGAGATTTTACGCTTGCATTTTAAAACAAATTTTACTTTTATTTTTAAATAAAGTCCCAATTTTATATCAAGATACGAGTATATCAAGCAATCTCCTAAAGAGATTATCGTGCAATCGACTCTTTCCCAATGTAAAATAAACCTTGTAAAATGAAGCAAAAAAATTCTTACGTAGAAAATAACACAGCACGCATTGCGAAAATTCCACAGATATCCGGTAATGGGGTAAAAGTAGCTGTTTCGAGATCGTAAGACGAAACCGTTTCGATGCAATCAAGTGCATCGTTCATGCATAAGCGGGCAACGTACGTGTAACGGGCTGCTTCGCGTGCGAGAACACGCGTGCTGTATTACACACGCTTCGCACGTAACAACACCAAGATTTAAACCACGGTTGCAGCGCGGCGGCAGCTTAGCTCTCGTTACATATGTCGCGTATCCTCGGGAATTTCTCTCTCGCACCTCTCTTTCCCTTATCCCGTCCCTTCGTTTACCAAAAACTGCCCATTAGGGAAAGAGCGCGCGCGTAAAAGCGAAATAGAGAACGACGAAGGGAACGAACTCCCGTTAGGTAGATAGTAACCGAGCACGAGTCGAGAGTTTTAATTACGCGGGCGGTAAGCTCCGCGAAATTTCGCGGAGTTTTAAAGGAACCTAAAATGGGCCGTTGAAATATCCGAAAACTGACGGCATTACGGCCCGCGAAATTTTCACGTAGCGTAGATGGCATGAAAGAGGGAGAGTTGGGGAAGAGAATGAGAAAAGGGCGGAGATGGCGAAGAGAGACATAGGAAGAAATAAAGCGGCCATGTTCCTTTGAGGCTACGAGGCAATATGGAAATAAAGGTCGGTATCCGTGTAAAAGTTTTAGTGTCACCTTCGCCTGCGCGGGTTTATTGCTCCCCAGAGAGAAGCTTCTCTTCTTTCTTTTTCTTCCTGGCTGCTGCTGCTCTTCTTCTTCTTCTTCTTCATCATCATCATCCTATTCTCCCCTCTTTCTGTCTTTCTCCTTCACCTCCCTCGCTTCAACTCTTACTTCGATTCGGTAGGGATCTACACAGCCGCAGGCGGTCACCTCGACAACCTCTTTTTCCTCTTCCTCTTCTTCTTCCGTCCCAACTGCTGCTCCGATCTTTTTTCTCTTCCAGGAAACAACCTTTGACTGGGCTGTCCCTCATCAGGACGTTATTTTTGCAACGTCCTGACCGATAATCGTTTTTTGTTTTGTTTCAACCGATTATCGGGACTTGCGGTCTTTCCGCCAGGAGAAAAAAGAAACCGCGCGTATATACGGTTTTTCTCTTCTCATTCTTTCTCCCATCTTTTCTTTGCTTTATCGTACGGTTCGCGAGATCTCAAAAACATCGATGGTGGTCCAGTGGCCGGATAACGGCGATTATCCGGCCGTAAAAGAACCCCGCGCATGTAAGTTCCCGGTAATACCAATTTAAATTACACGCGATTATGCTACCGGTGGCGAGGCATCTCTTCTCGGCATGAAATTTAGTCCTTAGGCGCGCCATTATACTTCAATTAACTACTTACGTATAGAAACCTAATTATACGCAAACGTATGTATATTCAGTTTTTAATGAAACTCTGACATCTTTAAATAATATTTTTTAATTAAATAGTATTAAATTTATATAATAAAAAATTATAACAATGTATAAGTTAAGTCTAGTTATTTGCGCGATGTATAAAGCTGCAAGTGATGAGAGGGAAGAACCTTTGAAAGCTTAATTATTGCACTTAAAGTTCATAAGACTTAATTCACATAACAAGAAGACACATAAAAGTTAAGTGATAAGTATTTGCATGAGAACGATGCTCAGATAACAAGTTTTCTTTACATGTATAGCGATAATTATTAGATATCATCTTTGTATATTTTCATTTAATATAATGTTCCAGAATATTGTAAGGAGTTATTCGAGTCATCTTTTTTAACTGGAAAAACGTGGGATATTTTTCTTGATTTCTTATTAAATAATTAAAGGAACACAAAATGCTATCGAATCAATTTGCTTAGTTTTTGAGAATCAATTTAAGAGTATAAGAAACAAAGTTTGAAATTTTGCGATACTCGAGTCCTGATTTTTTTATACGTTTGGCTCTAAACAATAATTATTAGATATCATCTTTGTATATTTTTATTTAATATAATGTTCCTAGAGTCATCTTTTTTAACTCGAAAAACGTGGGATATTTTTCTTGATTTCTCATTAAATAATAAATAAAGGAACACGAACTGCTATCGAATCAATTCGCTTAATTTTTGAGAATCAATTTAAGAGTATAAGAAACGAAACCTGAAATCTTGCGGTACTTAGGTCCCGATTTCTTGAAACATTTATCTTCGATATTCGAGAGAGAATCGGGGCGAAATCGATGAAAAGCAATTCCGCGGCATGCAAATATCCGCCCGAATGCGTCTAATAGAAGGTTTTAATCACAATGGTGCGGATAAACATTTACCCACGCCCGTCATCATTGTTGCTGTTTCAGATACTGAGGGATATCCGGCAAGGTTTAATGCAGCTAGGACGAGACGGACGGGGTCAGCTCCCTGGGGGTAAGTACATCAAGGACTAACCTCCAGCTAGTTGTCGCCTCGTCTCTCCACGACCTATAACCCGCCCTCTCGCAACCCTCCTCGCTCTGCGTACGTGTGGGTGCGCATACGTGTTCGGCGTAGAACGGGGGTTAGTGCCCGTGCACGTTGAACAAAACGCGCACGTGCCACAGTCGGTATGAGAATCGACTCCCAAATGCCTGACACCTCGTATGTAGTCGCTCACTCTCGCGAGACTCATTTTGAGCATTCGTTTCCTGATGGCTCCCCTCGTAGTCTTTTTCAGGAAATCTCGCTCCCCGTAGCCTCAGCAGCTTTTCACGATAAAGTGGAAACGCGGCGGAATGACACCTACGCCTTACAAAAAAGGCAACGGAAAAGAGGAAAGAAGCTTTCGCTTATCCAATTAACGTTGGAAGTATTAAAAAAATTTGAACAAGATATAAAAATTAATATTAAAGTAAAATGTAATGTAAAAAGATCTTGAAAGAGAGATTAGATGCGAAATGTAATTATAAAGATTAAGATGAAGATAATTAATATTTTGAACAACGAAAGATATATTGGCGATGAATATATAAACATAAAAGTTTTATTATAATTAAATAAGCATTTATTTTTATTATCATGAAAAAAATGTATTTTCAACAATGAAATTTCATTCGGAATAAAAACCCGTCAAATAGTTTAATATAATTTTTAGAAATAAGATTTATTACGATTTAATTTAAATTAAAACTATTGCAGAAAAAATATATACTTTTAAAATTAATAATATCTTTACAATTTGATCAAATCAAAACAAGATACTTAGAAAATTATATTTGTAGAAGAATATAATTTTATGAGAATAATTAAAATTTAAGATTAAAGTGTTGTAATAATCACAGTGCGTGACTAATATTATTTCACACATTCCAGCATAAGTGGAACATGCTTTACGCTTTATTGTCGATTTATCACCACTGCGCTGGTTTTATTTCCTATTCACAAAGGCTGCTGTGGCACGGCTGCGTCGTGAAGCCCTTCGTATACGCGAACTAATCTTGTTATTGTTAGCACCCGCTACCTTCATTTCCCAAACCATCTCTTTGCTACTTCTCCCTTTCTTCACACAATCGTATGCACGCTTATGTGTTACCCAGATTTCTATACCAAAAGAGAATCTAAATTCTCAGTTCGTTATTAAATTTATTATTAAATATAATTTAAATGCAGCATTCTCATGCTAATGGAATATTTGATATTCGTTTTTGTACATATAGAACATAGGTACCTTCGTAAATTTCAGTACATGTTATATGATAAAATATATCATTTATCCATTTTTTCTCCATTAAAGATTTTTTTTTAATTTTTAATTGAACGAATAAAGAAGGAATAATTATTTATTTTAATTATATATAATATTTATATAATTATACATATATAATAATCAAATATAAAATTGTTAATTCCCATGTTTGCAAATGTAAAAAATGGAACGAAACGCGCGTTGATTCGCAGACGATACGTACATGTACGACGAAGACGCGCGATGTGGAGGCGCGGGTGGTTTAGGACCAGGTCAACACTGGTACGACGAACCGCCCTACGAATCGGACCCCGAAGACTTCCTTATGGGAGCCAGCGGCGGTCCGGTACCTACCGCGACTATCCAAAATGGAAGGTAACATTTCCCTTTAATTTAATGCACAAATTCTGCTATAAGCATTTCGTGACTTATCCAAATAATTGTCAATTATTAAGAAACGTTTACGCTGTATATTGTTTCTCTAACGGAATGAGAATTTAATTATTTAATTATTAATAAATCTTTACCTTTTTTTAATTTTGTTAATTTATACGAGCCTTTCATTAATTAATTTTAAGAAACATTGTTTTCTCATAATATAATGAAACGACGCGATCGAATATGTGTGTCAGAGTGTGCTTCACCCTGAACTTGAGGCCGGAAAATCGAGGAGAAGGCGTGATCTCTCTTCGGACAGCCGGCGATATCAGCCTGCCACGCGATCGTTCGAGAAAAGGCGCGACGTCGACGATGCGAGGTCTCATCGTTCCTCAGGGTCACAATAATCCGCCGACGATTATACCCTTAACACATTCGAGGGCTTCGCGTGAGAGCGGAGATTACGCGAGTAGCGACGTGCAGGTAAGTCCCACCGTCGTCGTACGATGATCCGGGCAACCACCACGTGTACACCAGTCTGTAAACTTTGCACTACAAACATTATATTGTCGTCTCTTTGCTGCTATAGTCAAGTTACATCGTCCTGTGTGCGCTTCGATATTATAAACGTTAGCTAAACCTGGTGGAATAATCAGCCTGTTGCAAACATGATAATACAAAAGAAAGCAAAGCTAATCTATATATTTTGTCGTATTTCGAGAGTAACGTGGCTAATCGACTTTACAAACTGAAGAAATAGCACACGCTACCTCGCTCTCCATGCGATTCCGCCGCTCGAGATTACTGAATTATCGTACCCCAAGTCATGAATCTCGTTAAGTCGCGGATAATATTATTGCGCCGAGGCGTAATATCGAAGGACCGAGAATCCCGTCTAGATAAATCTCGTTAGATCGTAGCTGTCGTCCCACATAGTCGGAATTACATTAGTCACTGCGTTCCGATAAGTCCCACGCAAAAAGGGCGTCGTTGTTCCTTGGTTTCCATCCAAATACCATCTCCCTCGCGAGAAGCGCGGGATTTCGCGACCCGCTCGCGTCCCATGGGTCTTTATTTAGGGAAAAAGAAAAGAGGGAAGGGGGTAGTCGCTCACGTCACGGCGTGATTTATTTAATTTTGGGGCTGCAGAGTGTGAGCTCGAGACTGTCGACTGTGTCGGTGGACACGAGTAGGAGCGACCAGCCTCCGGTGGGCGGTCGCCATCCCGATCGGCCGGAGCATCACCACGAGCACCATCACAACCATCGTCATCATCACGAACATCACCACTCGGTCTCACCCCGATCCAATCAGCGTCACCCCGCCGCTACTAGCACGACCATAACCAACACCGCCGACGCAACGTCACCGCAAAGCAACGCGCAACGTCGCCCGATTCCCAGATATGTTCGTATCAGCCGAACTTGTTATACTTGGATAACGTATGGATCCCACCGTTTCATCCCCTTTACCCCATTGCACAGACACATTGCCAATTTCTATACAACTACTAACCCATTTGTGCACTTTCCCACGCACATGACGTCGGTTCATTGCAGATATCCGGGTTTTAAATCAGGAAAGCGGAAGATTTTCGGTGGATGAGATGCACGCGAATATACTCAGGAATATGTATACAAATTCTTTTCGTTATATTATACGGAGGGAAATCGCGATGTCATATAGTCGTTCGTACGCGGATGATTCGACAACCTGCATCTATTATTTAGGGAGAAAGAGAGGTGGTTGTGCGGTTTCCGATATGTTGGTTCAATATGAGGCACCGAGAACCATTCAATCCATTCGTCGACAATTAGATCCTGTGATTTACGGATTGTTTGCGTGGAATCGCACGTGTGATGGCTAGTGCCGGCGATTGCGTTGAAATTAATTCGTCGAATTTACGTTAGTCGGGTCTCTCCTTCGTCTACCGAACAAATGTTATTCTTTCTCGTCAACTTTGCAAACTTGATAACGATCGGGTACATTTGTTCGATAAAACGTCGCGTCGTTTGCTAGCGCGTTCTGTTTGAATTATCGAGAAATCGTATGCTTTCCATAATTTTTTCCCGTTTTTCTTTGTCGATCGATATATAAGAAATCATAAAGAGAAAATATTGCGTCTCTTTTCTAAAAAAATAAGAAATTTAAAATAAAATGTATAATACTGATCAATTATCAAAATATTTAATAATTATCGAAAATTTTAAATAAAGATTTTTTTCAGTAAAAGTATTCTTGAATGCATGACAGAAAAGAATATATATTTTTATATTTTCTAGCCAGCTATTTACAATTTAGTAATATTATTAAATAGAAAAATAGTGGAGAATGCAGAGTGCGTCATATTTCTACGAAAAAATTTATATTTAAAAAATCGACAAAGTATAGATCTCGTTCGCGTACGTCATTATACGTCTATGCAGTCGATTTATATCTTTATTATAGTTTAATCGCGCGCACGCGCGCGCGATAGTTGAACGAGTAACATTATGATAATCGTGCTTGACGTTAAAGCAAAAACTGAAAAACCTCATAATCTGATCAGAGCACCCCAGAATGAGGTGTCTTATTTCCTGCTCTGGCGCCTACACAGCACTGACAGCCTCTATATGTATAAATAATACTCACACACTGACACGCCAATATTAAGTATATCACTAACCCATCTAGATCGGCGTAGCCTGCATACGTTATTTACTTCTTATGTATAACACGCAACTCCCCTCTATCAATACATCGAATGTAACGTGGTTAACATGGTGTGTGCAACATTTTATATACTTAATCCCCATAACTCATACATATTTGCTGCTATTATTTAGTTTGCTACGCGACAGTTGCCTCGAAAGAGATATATATGCAATTCTCAAACATTGCGCAAATAATTTATTTAATATTAACAAATAAATGGAAAAATTGTAATCCTAATTTCCTTAATTATTTTACAATTAAACGTATTAGGTTGAAAATATAAATTATAGATTTCTGATACGTGAGCTATGATACATGTTGAAATATTTAATAACGTTGAAAAAAATTCTGGAATCAGCAAATTTTATATATTTTAGAGTAACAATTATAATGTATGTATTTAGATTGAATTTTATATATACTGAGAAAATTTTTTCTTAGAATTTACCCTAAAAATCATGGTAATCCTGGGACAATATGGTATTGGAAGAATTTTATAAGAGTTTTTCTGATTAATATTTACCACAATAAAAATATTAATATGTACCACAATAAGATATAAAATATACTCGATTAATCTTACTATGTACATAGAAAAATTCACTATGTACATATTAATATATTTTATTGTGGTAAATATTAATCAGAGAAACTCTTAAAAAATTCTTCCAACGCCATATTATCCCACGATTACCATGATTTTCAGGATAAATTGTAAGAGAAAATTCTCTTCGTGTACATTTCGTATTTTGTAAAAATACTTTTGAGGTGGCATCGTGCTTGCACGTACGATAATGATTTTTGACATTGGATCTCTATGTCTCCCAAACACACCTGCTGACACCACACGCTGGTGACAGTTCTCGTACTCGATATCACCTAGCGATGCTCGTAATCGTCGCCCTCCCCCTTAACTAACAGCATCCGCGCGCTATTAGATCCATCATAGTGTCCGCTTACTCCTCTCATGCGCTAGAACTGTCTCCCGCGAATATCAACGTTTTAGAGCCGGAGTAGCGGCGAGGAGGGACTGTCACCCAGTCAGAGCAGCGACTATGAAGATCAAGAGGAACTCGAGAGTCAACACTCGGCTGCTGTACACACAGTATGTAACATATGAGGATATTCCTTTGAGAAAACCAGTAGATTTTATTTCTCTGCACTATTCCCTTCTTCGCTATTTCTGCACGTATGCTCGAACGCATGACATCGTTAATCATTATTACACAAATAGCCGACGTCCAAACAGTACGATAACTAAGAAAAATTTCACCTTGTGCGCGACGATCATTTAAGCGATTAGTAGAATCATGAAATTGTTGCTCATCCTCTGTTCTAGGTTTTTATGTCGTATATAAAAATGAGAATTTTCCCAAATCGAAAATATGCACTAAATATTACAGTATTGCAAAATATTTTCCGCTTTAATACGCACGCGAATTTCGAACGAAAATAAAGTTGTGATTCAAAATATTGTAGTATTTTAAACGAAACATTTATATAATAAATTTATAATAATTGTGAAAATGGAAAGAATTAGAGGAAAAAATTGATTACGTATGAAATGATTGTATTGAACCGAAATGTTTAGCCGAAATTCCCATCACAATGTTCAATTGAACCGCGAATACTCGTATCGCTTAATGCGGATAATACATGAGTTCACACATACTGATCTCATTCGGAAACTAATCCGCGTTTACATTAAGCCTGCAGTTATGTCGTTAATTGTCTGTCACAAGTACAGGCTTTGGTCATATATACCTTAATGAGTATGCCCGTCATGTAATAAACACACTGTGACAACGACGTGAAACATGCAATCTCCCATTGAAATGCATAACGTCGATATAACGTTGTTTCACTGCTATTATGTAAGCAAGTGAGAAATATGAATGGTATTAGAGGCTGAATCCGATAAACCGAAATTGCATGACAATTCACGCAAATAGAATTATCAAAGCCTGTTGTGATACTTATTTCGAATACACATTAATTCGTCCTGAAAATTTCAACGCTCGCATCATTTATCTTTTTTCACCCTTTTTCGTTGATGCAGCACGCTTTTCAAGTAGCATCTATCTTAACATCGTAAAACACACGCAAGCACAGCACCTCCAGACCTATTCACGAATTATACAGTCACGAGATGTTGATATATTCCACCGACAAGTCGACGGTAGCGTGTAGATTCGAAGACGAAAAATAATTTGCTTCCGTCGAAAGTCTCACGATCGGTTGCAATCGATGCATGCGATTAAATATAACAATTAATAAAAAAAATAAGACCACTCGAGTATGATTCTTTAAGTCTGCGTATAATTCTTTATCAAGTGTTTATTCTTCCTCCTCGAGGAGTTACGTGAGAATAAGTTTGAAGAAAAGTATAAGAGTTTCTACAAATGAATAATAATTATCTTTTATAATTTAATAATAATTCACTGTTATTTAATACCAAATATTAATCCAAGAAGCTGGTCGAAAAATAAAGCTCGCGTTTCTCGACGCGGCCGACACTTTTCACAAACGATTTTCCATCGCGCCAGGACATTCCAGGACGTTATAAATGCATTATTGAAAACGGCTCGGCCAGTGGAGATCCTTATTTCGCATAGCTCCTCGATTTAATTAACGCGTCTTGAGAGCGCGCCTCTCTCTCGCGTCCGTCGATCGCATTCGATGGAAGCGCAGTATTCCGGGCACATCCCGGATGTTCTCGAAAACTCAATTAAAATTTCCAGTCGGAGGCGAGCGCGCTGCTGGAGGGCGACGCCAGGACGGGAATCGCGGGCCGGGCGAGAAATTTGAGGCACGACGTGCAGCGAAAGATCTCGAGGCTGCGCCAGGATCGCGCGTCCTCGGAGGCTTTTCCGTGCAGCGCGAGCAGCGTCGAGAGTCTGCCGAGCGGAAGTGGCTCGAGCACCCAGGCGCTGGTGCGAGCTGGAAGCAATCACAGCTCGATATCCTGCGAGGACAGGGACGCGATCAGCCCGACGTCCATCGGGCCTGTCCTCTGTAGAGCGAGGGCGCTCGTGGATTACACCCCCAGTCCGTACGACAAGGACGCGCTCAAGTTCAAGGTTCGTCCCTTCTCGATGCTGGATAATAATTGATTTATGGACGACAGATTTCGACGCGACGCGCGTGTCAACGACGGGGGAATTTATAGCGTGTAAATTATTCGAGCGATTTGTGTGTTATTGGCAATGTCATTACTCACTACTGCTCTCTCACAACTTGGTTTACTCGTTTCTAAAGTTATTTTATTGGGATTTTTAATTTAAAGAGATCTTTTTACGCGCAACTGTGATATATTTCGAGTTCAGTTTAATTAGCACGACGACGAAAAGTGTCTTCTCTTGCGAATGTCCGTGGCTAACATTGTTTCAGAAGGGAGACGTAATCGATGTGGTACAAATGAATAAGAGCGGACTGTGGAAAGGCGTCGTACACAACAGGATAGGCCACTTCAAGTTCATAAACGTCGAGATACTGAACGACAGGGTGCCTAGACGAGGAGAGCCAGAGCGGGGCAAGTGGGGTCAGAGATATAGGCAAAAGCCGGGTTCCGTTCAAGAGCTCTTGCAGAGAATGAATCTTCAGGTAAAGAGAGAGGAGTAGAGAAATATCTCGCCACGGCTCGAACAAACTGATTCGCATTTGCATGACGTCGAATGCAAAGTAGAGAACCTGCTTTTATACGTTTTCTTTATTCGGTGTCCCTATCGCTCTCTCTCTCTCTCTCTCTCGCTCTTTCTCTCGCTTTCTCGCAGCCTCCCATCGCAACAGCTTTCTAGCTTATACCTTATACAACTCGCAGGTTCCGCAGACCATGACGAGTTCTTTTTGTTCGATTTTCCCTCTTCCTATTCGCGTCTCTCTCCGTTTCTCGTCGCTTGTCTCCGCCTTGCTCATTTTTATTCTCACCCGATACACGTTCTATTCTTTCCTTTATCACCTCTTGGTCCTTCCGACTTTCTTCTTACTCCCACGCTCGAAATTTATATGAAATATTCTGAAACCTTGCCTTTTCGATCGCAAATATTAAAAAAGATATTTATGGTATTAATAACAGAGAGAGAGAGAGAGAGAGAATCCCAAAAGAGTGTAATAAAATTTTATTTTGCAATTAATTTTAACTTAGCACGCCCTTTATTTTGATGTTTACAGAAACTTTATTTAAGGCAATTGTATCGGCATTCCGTGGTGTATTTAAGAAATATTTTTTATTAGCGTTTGTATATACAAAATCTTCGTAAAAAAAGAAAAGTCGACTTCAAATTTATCAAAGAATTTACGGCTAAAAATACTCGGATATTAGATATAGTCTCGCAATTCGACAACAAATTAGGTTCGACCCTGAATCACCGAAGTCGAAGGGACGGAAGCAGCAGAAAGGGATAGAACGAAATGATAGGGCGAGGAATTGCTGTACCGGAAACGTCGGTTCCGATTCGGGGAGCCGTGCCACTTAATTAAGCCACTATGATCGATCGTTTAATGAACGCCGTAGATTCATCCGTGTGCACCTTTTCAACGTCTCGGTATACACTTAATTGAAGCTCGAGTAGCTCTCTGTGCGAATTATATCAGCGGACGGAGATCCAAAGTATCCACTTCCCGGCTGGCTGCTCAAGATCGTCGTTAAATTTCGTTTGACTATACGATCCCTCTGAAATGTCCAATCATCGAATATCTTAGAAGTCGCGATACTTTGGATTCTTTCAAGCGAACGCTGTCATAATTATAATATTTTTCCGTGCTAAATCGAGCTTACTGAAATTTTCTTTGATTTCAAAACGGTCCGACATTATTTCGATTTTATTATATCGCGACATGTATTTTTTTCTGGTGCACAAAGTATTAAGCAAATCGAAAAAAGATCTATTGTAATATACAATATTAAAAAAAATTATTAGTTTTAATCATTTTAATCGTCAAAATGTAATGCTCAATTTAACATCTTTCAATCCAAGTATGAGAAAAAAATTGCCTTAAATAAAAATTGATAGTAAGCTTTTTTTTTAAACGTATAAACTACTAGCGCATTTTATTGCACTGTTCAAAGCTCTGTTACGGTGAAACTAGTATCTCAAAGATGAATGTTACGCTCGCGCAGGAACATATTCCAGTTTTTATATTGAACGGATACGAGGATCTGGAGCTCTTCAGGGAGTTGGAGGCGGCGGATCTGGACTATTTGCGTATACATCAACCCGAGGATCGTGCCAAGATACTCACCGCCGTGCAGCTTCTACACGATCTTCAGTGTGAGTATACCGAACAGACCGGCTACATATGTATTATTCACGGTTCCCTAAAGACCTTTTCATCATCGTCGCTATTCGTCTTGCTACATATATCGCGTTACAATTAATACGAGTCATACATCTTAAAAATTTGTTAGAATTTCTTAAAAGCAGGACGAGTATTCTTTTTATATTATTTAATACAAAAAATATCTTAATCTAAAAAGAATCTAATATAATATGATAAGCTATAACTCTACTGCTTGTTCTAAAACAGTGCTGAGATATGAGAATGGGAAATTTAAAAATTCTAATTAAACTTTCTTTTTGTCTTTCATCAAAAAATAAAGGTTTCTAAAAAGAAGTAACATTCCTGGACAAATATTTTTTTTCCAAATTATTAATATTTATCACTAGACTTACGAAGATAAATTAAATTAACTGTGAAATCTCACGCGTTTTATTTTTCATCTGCTTCTACAGCGGGCAGCGAAGGTGACCTGGCTTCGAGTTCGGAGGGCGACGAGGTCAGCCGTCTGGTCTTAACCTCCGGCCAGACGTCCGGCCACTGTTCTCCCTTCAACCGACGGCAGTTCCCGCGGGACTCCGGCTGCTACGACGCGCATAAGAATACGACCAGTCGGCGGACCATCAGCCCGGAATCAACCACGACGTCAACGAAGCTGTCGAGGGAGAACAATTTGGACAGCGCGTCAACGGCGGCCGCGAAGAGCGCCGGTGGTGCGACCGCTACGGAGGGCGGTCTGGCCGATTCGAAGGACGACTTTCATCCCAACATACCGATCTCCGGCCCGGTGGAAAGGAAGGAGAACCAATTCGAGAAGTCGCCGTTATTACGGGGCGGCAACGTGCGATACATCGCGAAAAGAGGTAACTTCGGCGAGACGGTGGTCATCGAGGACGCCTGCGAGGGTGGCCCGAAACTGGGCGGCATGGTCAAGTACATGGTCGGCGGTACCGGTGACCTTGGCCTCGAGAGCACCAGCAATGTCACCGGTCTCGGTCAACGCGGTTGTCTCAGCGAGAAATCCAGCGACTCCGGCGTCAGCTCGTCCAGCATCAGCTCGGCACCTCCGCCTAGGGACAAGGTTCTCGCATCTGCCAGCGCCCTTTCGGATTCGCCGACCAAGAGCTTCGGTAGCTTCACCAGGGCGTCGCCGACTTCTCAGGGTAGCAGCAAAACTCAGAACAACGACGGAAGCTATCAATGAGAGCAGCAGCAACGAATCGTTAGGTCGACGAGTCGCGGCGCGATCTTGAACTCGAAGGTAAGGAATATGAAAGTGAGAGAGTTGCTGGATGACCTTAATGGAGAACCGACGGAGCATCTTTAATTCAGAATCGCGATCGTCTCCGAGGCTACGATTCGTTCGCGAGAAAGTTGAGCAATGTCGGGATCAACGAATATTTCGGACATGTATTTTGTATTCGATAAAAGAGGTACAACTTCCGAATCCGATCCTAATGAACGTACGTCACAATAACAAGAGGTTTCTTCCATTCTGTATAACTAGTAGAATTAAAGCAATTCTAACGAGATTGATAATGACAGTTATGTTCGCTCATTGTAAATTATGTGCGTACAAATGCACCTCGATTTGAATACGCAAAGCAATATCTTATTTTCTGTTATTCTTATTGAGAAAAAAAATAATATATATAAAAAAAAGGATCTCACTTTGTTTGATTTAATTGAATTTTTATCACGAATACGCGCGAACAGAAATTCTAATATCTCTTGACACGTGCCGATATTAATGTCGGGAGAATATTTTGTGATTATCTTGAATATATTTGGGGCGAGAAAAGGGAAAAGAGTAATAAAGAGACAGGAAAAATTGCGCAAAACGAGAGTGAAAAATTCTGAAGGCCAGAACCTTTTAAATTTATCATAAGTGTTGCTCGCGAAAAAAAAAAACAACAAAGCGACCACTGCCGGTCATCATTCCGATCACAACATCTAGCCGATCCGCTCTTGGTTTATTGAAATCAAGTCAAGCCACACATCGCGCCTAATTGTGTAATTAATAATAGTAATAATTAATAAGCGAATACTATGTGATACGGTAGCAATATACGATCGAATAGGTAAAGAATAAAGGAACGACGTGAATCGCCGTCGCGATCCAATGCGTACAATAAAATAAATAAATAAATGATGACGAGAAGAAGAAAAAAAGAACGAATAAAGAGATCCGTATGTATATATATATAAACGAATGCGCGTCTATTAATTTTGATTTCGCGTTTTCGCGTATTATCTATCGATTTTATCTGAGTAACGACCTCGCGATTAATCACTGCAAACACTATATTATATAGTTTGTCTGACGTGCGATATAGTCCGTCAAAAACTGCCAGCGTTATCGAGTTTTTATCTCTCTTCAGCAAGAGATAACGGTCTCTTACATCTCATACAATATATATTTTAAACTCTTTTACACAATTTTAAATCGATCTCATTCCTATATATAAAAGACGTGCGTAAACCGTACGAGAGATATAGTTATGAATCATCTCGAGACATTTTTCCGCTTAAATATTATATATATAGCGAAACTCGCGAGGATCCATCTTTCTTATTCAGCGATGTAGACGGATTATCGGATGCACAGGATGCCTTACGAGCGTTTTTCACTCTTACTTAGCTTATTTACGCGACTTCAATAAAGCTCATTGCATACACTCGAACTATAACGTCGATTCTCGCGAGGGAATATCTATCGTTCATTTTTTTATCTTTTGCATAATTTTGTACGGAATAGCGTTGAAATACGAACTTTTCAAAAAGGAAACGGCGCCGATTATTAATGCCGCATCGCTTACTATATACGATCGACAATCCCCCCATCGTCGATAGGACTCATCGTCAGTTTCTTCGACACGATGGTAAATCTGTACATGTGTATATTGACCATACCACAGGAGAGAGGAAAATATTGAAAGTTACAGAGATTTTGTATGTACATAGATATATGTATATATACATAAATACATATATATATATATATAAGTGTATGTATTTATATATATGTATATATATGTATATATACACGCGTAGAACTTAACGATGTTTTGTATTGATCTTGCCCGTTTGCCAAAATTGTAGACTAGGCTCTATACATATGCGCGATATAATACAATATATCTCGTACCGTTGGATTTTATTGTACATCTCTTGTATAGTGTAAAATCATAGATGAATTTACGAGACGCGGGAGCGCAATCAGAAAAAGAGCTGCGGGAACAGACATGGGCGGAGCCGAGGAGCCCCGACGGATAATAATAATTTGTAAGTAATAATTTTAGCTGTGTGCACGAGAGTGCGTGTGTGTGTGAGAGAAAGAGAGAGAGACGATTCGACGCGCATTATTATTAATTAAAGTAGAAGAAGAAATATTCAGGGCACGCACCCATCCCGAATGAATGAACGATCGAAGAGATATTGGCGAATAGCACGTTGACGGAAGGTTGGTGATATTAAAGAGTTCTTGCAATACCGTGTTTTTTACGTTTACGATAAGCACTAAAGACTCGTATTAATCCGTTTACTTAAATACAAATAAAATTAAAAACTTGGGCTTGATGTGTGTATTCGACTAGACTATCTTAATACGATTCTCAGATAGAGACAATTTCAATGAGATCAAGAGTCGAGAGAGAGAATATTTTCATGTTAATTCACAGATGATCGGGCAAGTTTGAGATCAAAGTTATTGAGAAACTTAGCGCTTATCATATTCGATATACGTTATTGCAATAACGTTAGAGGAATTTATTGAAAGCTACAGGTGTTTCACACGATACATGTACATTTTTCACATCGTCATCATCTAACGTGTAATGTAGAGAAAGAGAGCGTGCTTCTTTTTTACAACGTTGTCGCAAAAAGCAAATTGAAGGAGACAGAATAAAGATCAGTTCAGAAGTCGGCTAATGGTTCGATCGAATATGTAAATCGCAAATTGCTTCCATCGACGTCGAGATTAATTAATAAATGCGACATATTCGATCGCGGGACCTTTTTTTTTTAATGAATTTGTGTGAGACGATTCGACGATTCGAATAATACCGAGAAGACTTATCCAATAAATGATATTTCGATGACGTCTGCTAGTTTATCCGTTCCATCGAAAATACTAAAGTGTAGAAAACGAGCGAAGCGATTATTACAAGACAAAAGAAGAGAGAGATGTAAAATTAAGGCAGAAAACGAGAGAAGTGATTGAAAATTAAGCGTATGCGTGAGAGAAAAAGTGAAAGAAAAAGGGGGGATGTTAAATTAGTAACGAGTTTATGAGAGTATGAATAGAGACACGATAGTGATTTTATTAGCTCGGGAAATTATGCAGCGTTTGATGTAAAGTAAACTTATTCTAATCGTAGACCCCAAAAAAGGCGCAGTAATCGAAAATAGATAATTTAAGGGCAAATTTTAAGAGAGGAGGAAGTGAGAGAGTCGTCGATGAATGAAAAGAAGGCCTACGTCTTGCACGTCTCTCGTAAAAAAAAAAAAAAAATGACGAGGCGCGATAAATCGCTAGGTAAATTTATTCGTCAATCGAGAAGCGCCGTAAGACGCGCGGACGCTTTCGGGGATTTGCTGGCGAAAGAAGTTAAGCGTTTACGTAGCGGTCTAGTCCATTCTTCTCGCGTGGTTATTAACGAATATAATGTACATATAAAGTAATAAAACGATATAAAAAAAAACACAGATCTAGAGGGAGAACAACGATCGCGGCCGCGAATTTAGCGCGCATCGTCGGACCTTTTTTATAAGCTGATTTTGTATTTATTGGTTAATTGCGGGATTTGTAGATGGTCACACAAAAATCACACAGACACACACACACACACATAATTCTTATCGTCTCTCGGTTCTCGTATGGTTTCCAACGATAAGTGTTAATTTATTGACTGTGAATAGAAATAAACGATGGAAGATACAAAGCTTGCGTGTATTTCACTTTTGCGAGAATCGCATACCCTGGCAAACTTCCGATTCCATAATCCGCCTGATTATTCCTCCACGAGACAAAGGAGCAGTTGAGCCTAGTAAACGGTAAGTGCTTCATTAAGATAATAGCGTATATAGCATAATCTTAAAATCCTGGCTAGACTTAGAAGCGATTAGGCGATTGCTAAAATTTTAAAAGCAAACGAAAACGCTTAAAGCGTAATTTGTGAATGAAATAATATCCTCGAAAATATACGATTTAATAAATATTTGAAATTTTTGATTCATAAATAAGCAAAGTTTTTATCACTTTTTACCACTTTAATAATAATATTTTAGTATATTTGATGAGTTTTGCAAAAGAATAAATCTTTATAGCTTCGCATTGCGTCCTAAATTTAATTAGAAAAACTTAAACTGCGCTGTGAATGATTTTAATCCTACAATGCATTGTTCTTCACCTCTTCCATGAATTGACAAAAGGATTAAAGAATATAAAGCGAATCTCACGGACGATCTCCTATGAAAAGTCGCGGCATTCTTCGGCGAGTTATTTCGGGCAAGATTCACGCAAACGGAATAATTAGACGTTTCTTACTCGATTAACGAGGCTCGCTAACATTAAGCGTTGCGATGTCATTTCATAAGTACGCCAAACCCTCCCATCTTTTACGCGCTGCCGCACGGGACCATTAGCGGGAAGAAGTTCCGAGTGACGGACGACTCGGCGTCCGCTGCTAGTAACTCCGAGCGAGCAAACTTCGCGCTTTGGTTATCTGCCATTACTTGGAGAAAGATCCTCTTATTTAACTATCTTCCTGCTCGCCGTGGCTCGTAATTGCGGAAACTCCGGGAAATGCAGCCATCTCTTGCAGAACACAGTTAGTCCAAGTGCAGCGCAGTGACGATCATTATTCCTCTCATCGCTCTCTCCTTGCGAAATTAAATTAAATCACAAATGTACATTTTAAATGCGCATTGGTTCGCAAAGAATTCGCTCATTGTCTCTATGTGCAATTTAATAACGCCGCCTCTATCTACCGTAGCTGCTAATTGGAGATAATTAATATAAAGATCTCGCAATTGTATTATCTCTTACATTAATCGACGGAGTCGATCTACGACATCGTTTTCATTAAATTTCACGGGGACAGATTCCCTTTGTAATGTCGTGTCGGAAATATACCATCAGATGTTTGAATTCGTTCAGTCAAAAGAGCGATCGTTGATCGGGAACTAATCAGACAGATCTTTGGGAAAAAAAGAAGTACGATAAAAAGCATTTAATAATGTATGTAAATGCACCTTCCGAGAATCATTCCGAGCATTACGACATGTACGTGTCCATTCGTAAGCTTTATTTCGTGCCCTGGGGGGCAACAGGAACTTTTAGTACGCTAGATTATGGCGGTAATAACTCGACGAGCTTCTTTGCCCGCGACTCGTGAGCAAATTCTTCATCCCCCTCTGGGGTGAGATCTAATTTAACTTTTAGGGTCGTGCAATCACGACGGTTTCTGGTAATTCAGCCTAGCCGGGTGAATTCAGTTATTATTTACTCCGTTACATTCTCATTTTTTGTTTTCGTACGAAAGAAATTCTTCGTAACACGTTACAATGAAAATTTATTTATGACATTGTAACGTAACAGATGACTCCTGTCATTTGCATAAATCTGCGATATCTTTTCGTTATTTCGCGCGGATAATCGCAAATATAAATATAAAGCGGCACTATAAATTCGTTAAGCGATAAAGTCGTTAAGAAGAGATGTTTATCCGATTATTTTTTATTCTCGCAATTGTATGAACTCACAGACGCGTAAGAGATTCATCGCTGTAATTTTAATAACATAGTCTAAGACCTCGCACCGTTCGCTATATATATATTTCTTACGCGAGATTTATCACACGTAAAGGATACCCCAGTCCGCTACGTTCATTGTGGCGTATTATAAATCGCAATCGACATCTCTACTCCAACCGGTACCAGCGTTGTTATCGGACGCGATCGGACAAAACGATCGGTTATACTCGACGCGGCGACTTTTGCGCTTCTTGCACGCCCATAACAATCTTAATTACTGTCCACACTAATGAATCAACGAAGATATCGCTATTGGCATAGCTGCGTCCAAATGAAACTCCATCATGAGATTGCTTCACACCCGAGGCGAGATAAACCGAAGAGCGCATCTCCTCTTTTTTTTCCGCTCTTCTCTTTCCGCGGGGCGTTATGTACGAGGAAGCCACGCAATCGGCTTCATCTATTTCTATATTAGAACTGGTGAGGTGACTCGTAAATCAAGACAGTAAACTCTCCTATATATATATATATATGTATGTATATATATTATAAAATATATGTTTCTATGTAAGCGATTCTATGTGAACATCAAATATAAATAAAAATAAAGTCTTCAGATTCTTGCTCTCTTCTGTTCTTTTAATTACTACATGGAATGCAGTAATGTAAAGAATATTAAGAAGAATACTGAGATTTCAAATACTTTCATATTTTGTTTGTTTTTCGTAATTTGCTGCAATATAAAGAAACTACTAAATAATTTATTCATTTGTTCCACAACAATCTGCAGAATAAGAATTAGTATTATATTATTGCTATGTTTAGCGATAATAGAACACTAATTTCTTATTCTGCAAATATTGAGAATATATAAATATAAGAATGTTTAAAATTTTATGTAAAAAAAAAAGAATAAAATTTTCCACAAAGCATCAATGTATACGGCGCTGCAAGTCTACTGCATTAAAGTAAATTCCTTCTCTTCTATTTGTTTTTTTTTGGAATATATCAAGAAGAATACTTGTAAGAATTTTGTCATAGAGAGGCATAATGTTTGTGTATTGTAATAAATGGATTTCGAGATTGCATATATTGAGCTATTTCTATACAGTTGCTTAATTGCTTAAATGCTTTTTCTGCCCGCATAATTAAAAAATGAATGCACAAGTATAATATAATGCGAACTAGTTTAGTTTTATATGTAAAAGTTAAATTTTCAATTAAAAATAGCATGTTACAATTTTATTTTTTAATTATCTTGTTCCTAAAATCAACTTTTTGTTAACTAACTGCAGTTAGTATGTTGTTTATACAATTTATAATTATTTAATTTACTTTTATAAAAATTACATTTTCTTACTTTGCATATAACGTAGATCTAAAAAATAATTAAAAAGTTTAATTATTTTTATGGCAGAATTTTATTAAATATATTTTACAGTACAAATAAAAGTTTCATTGCGCATTATTGATTTTTTCTAAATATTAATTATTTTGAAAACTATTTTCTGTACATATAATTTGTATTTTTTTATATTTTATAGATCAACGTTTTATAGTATAGAGCTCTGCTGTTGCGCATTGTATTGGTGAGTGTATTGTATATACATATACAATAATATTATCTGTATATGCAGATTAATCATCAAAAATTAATTGAAGAGCAATTCCGAAAAGAGAGTTAAAAAATGATGTTAACTTTTTCATTAAATAAAATGACACATCATTTTCTTGAAAAAAAAAATTTTTTAAATATATGACAAGCAAATAAAGATATTAAATATTCTTATTCTTTTTGTTCATGTACATTTATATATTCATGAACACAATTAAAACTTTCTAGCGATTATATTTCTGTTGTATGTATATTAAAATATTAAAATAATGTATAAATATCTATATTGTATTATTGTGAAATGGCTCACTCTAGAAACAAAATAATTTTGCCAATGTTTAGCCTCAAAAAACTCTCAAAAACATAATACCCAATATTTAATATTTAATATTATATAGTGAAAAATTTTTAAATAAAACAGAATAATTTCGTATAAAATAGTTATGTAGAAGATCAGATCTTTAAGAATGCTCTCTAAGAAAGTTTCGAACCTCAATCAAATTTAAGAGAGAACAATATTTTTATTTAATAATATTAGTTTTTAGGTAATTAATAATTAATTAAAAATAAATTTGAGAAAAAAATTTTTTTTATTATTTGAAGTATTTTACAATTCAATTTGATTATTATTCGCTCAAGAATGTGTAATTTTTTCGATATTTTTATAACATAATTTATTGAAATCGAAGTTTACTTGAACTAAATATAAAATTTTTGTATAATTTTAAAATTTGCGTTTCAAGTCAAAGAGTTACCTTGTTTTTCAAAGAGTATTTAAAGAATATTGTTATTGCTTTGTGATGTAATAATACAAGATCAAAGTCCTAACAATAAGTTACAAACAATGTAGTAAAGTGACAGTAAAACATAATATAAAATGTAATTTACGGTATAATAGTTATCTTTTTCTCTTCATAAGATTTTACTTTCAGACAATTGCATTTAAATTATATTTATATATAGAGTTATAAATGTTATTTCGTGTCTAATTCGTTATTATCGGACTTAAACTTATCCATGATAGGTAAATACTCAAAATTTGCATAGCTTGCCGACTAATTGGATCCTCAAAGGTGGAATCCTAGTAAACTTAGATAACTAGCCGCACCTTGTTGAGCAACTATTGTTCTGCTCAGTTTGCGAGCAACAAGTTGGGCACCGATAATTAGACAAGTTAAGACAACTATGACCGTCCACAATCGTTAGTCGATAATAGGATTAAATGTACTTACAGGAAGTGCCAGTTTAGGCGACAAACTATCCCCCAACTCTCTCCTATGTATTACAAATAATGATTTTAACCTTTCCTGGCTACTTTGAAGATTTCATTAAACACAAGACAGTGTCAAATACTTACAAACGAGCCATTATTATTAAGACAAGACTTGTAGAAAAAAATCTTCAGAATCTTATATAAAATATTAATTATTTTACTAGCTTTTTATGTGAAAACAACAACTTGTTTATATATTTGTTTTTATAGCATTTTTATATTTTTCTCTTTTTATATATATAAAAAGCATATAAATATATAAAATCTGATAAGAGAATATTAAACCAGATAATAATCTTTAAGATTCGCCAGTAATAATTAATAAAAATCTTTCCTCAATGGTAAAAGTCGACCAAACTGGCAATCATTTATTATAAATTATTAGTTAAAATACAACGTTTCGGCTGTCATTGCAGCCCTTTTCAAGTAAATCTATAAAAAATTACATAAAAATAATTATTTCATCGCAACAAATAATTATAAATTCATATACAAAAATATGTTACATACCAAACGTAAATGCATAATAAATTAATACAGTAAATCAAATTCACTGCATACCACCGACAATATTCACCATTGTTTTAATGAACAATGTAAAATTGACAAAAGTAAGCAAGAAATAAATAGATGTTAACAGTTAGCAAGAATCTTAGTCACTACGCGTTAAGAAAATCGAGACAAAAATTTGGGACAATTTAAAGGAAATATTTATAATGTTCGAATGCTTTAAAAGTGTGTCTCTCAAAAATTAAATTGCACATATATTAAAATGTAAGTCATATGAATCGTACGACAAATTGCAATTGAACGATGAAAAACATTATATCTTCGAAAATATGTGATTCAATATAGAATTAATTAAAAAATTAAACGTTTATAACGTACAATTATCGCTTTCGTCTTAAGTACGATTTGAAACTGATACTGTCTGATCCATTCTGACGAAGACTTGTGATATTGTATCCGCATTTGCAGTTTCTTATTCTGATAGAACAGATAATTATTGTTAGCTAACCAAAAAAACTCAATCTTTTATACTGGTTCACTGCGAAGTAAATTTCATTATACATAAACGTAAACAATATTTAATGTTTATTTGCGGATACGTCCGGGGGATAAGACATATAACATTGTACATAAAATACAGACCGGTAAAGTTCGTATTAGCAGAATCAAAACAATCATGCACGCTTAACGTCCTAGTCAAATTATTGTCACAAGTGTTCTTTAACAATACGTATCTGTGCGAATTCTTGATTCAGAGAAGCAAAATCGGAACACACTCAGATAAAATCTACAAGTAAAAGAGATAAAAAGGAAGATCAAGAGATATATACTAAGGAAAAAATAAACGATTACGTACAAATAAAATACAGATTAAGGAGAACCCTGCCGAAAAGGTAACTTATGCGGAAATTATATTTAATATAATTTTGTCATTTTATTCAAAGTAATATAATATCTTTTATACTTTTTGACTATAATTATAATGAAAATAGTAAAGTGAAAAATATGCTTCGATTAGGTGCTATCAAAAAAATAATACATGGAATTATCACACGAAATAACAATAATCTGTGTAATATTTCGTAATTTGGAAATTGACATTAATTTTGCAGTAAAGTTTGTAAAAAATCAGAAGAAAGCTGATCAAAGAAAGAACTGTAAGTAGATTTCAAAAAATATTCTAAAATTATTAGAAAAATAAGCAACCAAGTAGATCAAAGACATTTCTTTTATCTTATAAGTTTTAAGTCTTTAAAAATATATCTGACATTGTCGTGTCTATGTGTGTGTCTGAATTTATACATACACACACAAAAAGAGAATATTGGGTACATCTACTGATTTAAAAGTGCACTTGTTTAATCACTATTACAATACATTTGTACATTGCGCACAAACATTCGGCTCTTATAGCCCGTTTATTTCCAAGTACATACAACACATTTAACTATTTAAAATAATAAAACTAAATTTTTTTCATGCCCTTACTTATGTGCTTATACATTACTTTCTCTTAACAAATATAAAATTATAAATAAGTAATTTTTATTCACTATATCGTAAACTTTTTTCCTTACAATTATTTTACAAAAAATCTGCTTTAGCAATATATATATGTAACTGCTTTACAGTATATTAATTAAGACTAATATTTTTATTAAATTAATTTTACGTGTAAAATATAAATATTATTTTTGAAAAGTTATTATAAATGTATAATAGTGAATGCAATATTTATCAAATAATGGAAAATAAACGGTAAATTAAATCTTTCTAAAAAATATGAAATTCTATCTTGCACAATAAAATCTTTCTCTTTGTTCGGTTTATAATAATAATTTTTACTTAATAATAACTGATAGATTACCGTAAATTAATATAATAAAAATTTGTAGCATAAAGATAGTTTGATAACAAATGTGTGGTTAATTTTTATTCTTCAGATTAAGGAATCAGATTAAGCACGATTAAACAAACGAATCTCTTATATACCATATATTGGAAACAATCAATTTTAACACATAAATACATTTCTCAAAATGCGTTCGTCGGATGAATTAGAAAGTGACCAGCAGAATAATGATAATACAGAAGACGAATGTGCCGATTCTTATACTCAGATGGAAAAATCAAACAGTAACAAGCATAAAGACGATGAAACGGAGAACGAAGCTCTCGATTCTCCTATACAGACGAGCACCAGCAATAAAGGGGAGTACATCCAGAGGAAACGTAAGCTGAGCGAATCTAGTGCGGATCTGGAAGAGAATGTCGAACAATCCAGAATTGTAAGTATCGCATCCGACGATGATACATGGGCTTGCGAAATCTGTAAACAAATTTTTGTTCACAGGTAAGCAGTGAACGTATATATCTACGTAAAGTCAATGAGGGGGATTTCACTTGTCACATATGCACTAGAAGATTTCAAACAAATGCTAGGCTGAAGATACATCTGCGTCGCCATAACAATGATCGGATGTACCTTTGTGACAAGTGTGATAAAACATTCACAACTAACAATTATTTGCAAGCCCACATGAGAGAGATGCATGGGAACAATAGGTATCCATGCGAGAGTTGCAATAAGACATTTCGCCGGAAACGGGATTTGAATATCCACATGTTGACGCACACGGACTACAAGGCAACTTGTCCCGAATGTAAAAAAACTTTCAAATATAGAGCTAATATGCTTAATCATTACAAGAATGCACATTCCAAAATTAAGTTATATCTGCGCCAGAATTTCGAGGTAGATATTGAGGTTTCTAGTTATGGGTCTTCAAGGAATTTGCCAGGATCAGGTCGAGTCGAGCGTACACTTGAACCTTACTCGACGGGAATAAGCGGTCCGCAATCATATATGTTTAGTGATGACATACAGGAGTCCATGCGAAAAAAATATGATGAATCCCACAAGTGTGACATATGCGAGAAGTATTTCAGCAAAAAATATAATTTAAAGAAACACAACCGTACTGTACATTCCACAGAAAAGCCACATTCGTGTCAGCATTGCGGCACGAGCTTTAGACTAAAAAGAGAACTCCATAATCACAAAAAATATGAACAATATTGCACCCAGTATAAGTGTAACTATTGCACCGGGAGATTCACCCTGAAACGAGATTTGCAACGGCACAAAAAATACACAAGTTTCAGTGCCACATTTGTTATCGGTTATTTAAGAGATACCAAATATTTTTGAAGCACATGAAAGTTCACGAAAAGATATGCAACCCACCCGAGAGATGTCTCAACTGTAATGAGAGTTTTAATTGCAGCTGGGACACATGGAGGAATCACAAATGTAAAGAAAATGGAAACTCCGAGGAAATGCTCTACCAATGCCAATGTGACTGTAGCTTCAAGACTATAGGTAAACTTAACCATCACGTGAAAAATAAGTTGGACGTGTGTGGCGAGTGCCAGTATGAGTGCGATCATTGCACCGGGATATTCACCCTGAAACGAGATATGCAACAGCACAAGAAAATACACACGGATGACAAGAAAAAACTGTAAACAATCCGAAAAAAATCAACAAAGGTAAAAGTAAAAGTAAGGCTAAAGACGATGGAAACTCCGAGAAAATGTCTTACAAGTGTGAATGCGGCTATAGCTTCAAGACTCTAAATCAGCTCGACAATCACCGTAGCTCATCTCCCTACGCTGCATGCGTATATCCAGATAATACTGATTCCGAAAAATTTCGTATAATTAAAATATTTTTCAATGTCTAAAACTCAAAAATTATTGTTCTATTAATAATTTTCTATAGTTACATGATACAACTGAAATTAAATATGAATAGATGTACACAAACATAATAGTTGCTTTTATTTACTTAAAAACTCAGATAAATTTCACATCTGTCTTTTTTCACATTCACGTTCAAGAAAAACAGAAATGAGATTTATCTGAGTTTTGATGTAAATGCAAAGCAACTAATAATTCTAAATTATTAAACAAAAGGTTATGTGTAAAGTTTGTATAAGGAATTTTTACATTTATATTTTCAATTGGAACCTTCTCTCAAAAATTGTCTGCGAAATCGATGATGTTTGTAATACACATAATGACGTTTTTATGTACTAATAATATATGTATAACAAAATTATGACGGAAGTTTCAATGACAAAAGTTTATTAACAACTTGAAGAGTGTAGAGTGTGATTATAGAGACACGACATAAAATATAAAATCGTTGGACATGTGTGCTAGCAGTACAGCATCAATGTGAATTGATATTTTAATTAATATTCAAATTATATTTATTTATTTATATTAATACTAACAATAAGTTCTTCTTTATTTCGTAGTTAGTTTGTGTTAGAAAAAAAATTATGCAAATCCAGGACATGCGATATTTCAACGCAAATTGTTTCTTTATTATTCACATATTTGCTAATAGATAATAAAATAATAATTATTGTATATATGAAACACAACATGAAAGAAACAATCTATTACAGTAATGTACAAAAAATATAATAAAAATCTTTCCTCAATGGTAAAAGTCGACCAAACTGGCAATCATTTATTATAAATATTAGTTAAAATACAACGTTTCGGCTGTCATTGCAGCCCTTTTCAAGTAAATCTATAAAAAGTTACATAAAAATAATTATTTCATCGCAACAAATAATTATAAATTCATATACAAAAATATGTTACATACCAAACGTAAATGCATAATAAATTAATACAGTAAATCAAATTCACTGTATACCACCGACAATATTCACCATTCTTTTAATGAACAATGTAGAATTGACAGAAGTAAGCAAGAAATAAATAGATGTTAACAGTTAGCAAGAATCTTAGTCACTACGCGTTAAGAAAATAGAGACAAAACTAATGTGTTTTTCGCAATCTAAAACCTCATAACAAATAAATAAATAAATAGGTAAAAATAAAAATAATTTAAATAGCGTCAAGAACACGATCATAAATCCCACTAAAATTCTTCGTATCTTTCTGTAAATCAATGCCTTTACTTTGTATTTTATATAAAACATTTCTGTAATTTCTCTTTTTCTTGTTTGTTTTTCTTGATGCAAGATCACCGGAGAATCCCAACGGAACTCATGATCGTTGCAAGTCCGATGCAAACTAACGACTGAATGCAATGTAGTGTCTTTTTTATATTGATATTTTTTATATTGATTTTATATTGATTTTATATGATATTATTTCTATGTTCTTTGATGCGCGTTTCTAAATGTCTCTTTGTCTGTCCAATATACGTAGAATCACAATTCGCACATTCAATTTTATACACGACATCGGTTCTTTTTAAGTTGTCTATCTTATCTTTTCCTCTTTTTATCAGTGTGTCTAATTTTTTTGGAACGGTATATACTACATCAATTCCATTTTTATTAATGCAACGCGTAATATTCTCTCAAATCTCTAATATAAGGCAACATCATACAAGTTCGCGCATCAAATTTATTTCGATTGAATGAGCTAAGAATACCGCCAAATTTAATTGTCTTTTGTTAATATTTTTGTTTATAACCGTTAATGGGTAACAATTATTACGAAGAATTCTTCTGACTATATTAATGTTTTCTTTGTGAAACATAGGGTCAGCGAGTACAATTAGGCTTGTGATCGCACTGAGTTTATATCTCATCGGATGATTCGATAGAAAATTTATATATCGACCTGAAAACGTAGGTTTACGGAACCAATTAGTCGTTAATCTACTACCAATACGTATAACATTCGTGTCCAAAAAACTCAGAGAACAATTGTTCTCTAGTTCAGATGTAAATTTAAGTCGAGTGTAAAACCATTGAAAATCCTAAGCATATCCTCTATTTTTCCTTTCGGAATAATTGAAAAAATATCATCGACGTACCTAAAATAACAAGAAGGTTCGAAATCCAATTGACGCAAACAATATGATTCCAAATGTATAAAATTGAATGTGCGAATTGTGATTCTACGTATATTGGGCAGACAAAGAGACATTTAGAAACGCGCATCAAAGAACATAGAAATAATATTATATAAAATCAATATAAAATCAATATAAAAAAGACACAACATTGCATTCAGTCGTTAGTTTGCATCGGACTTGCAACGATCATGAGTTCCGTTGGGATTCTCCGGTGATCTTGCATCAAGAAAACAAACAAGAAAAAGAGAAATTGCAGAAATGTTTTATATAAAATACAAAGTAAAGGCATTGATTTACAGAAAGATACGAAGAATTTTAGTGGGATTTATGATCGTGTTCTTGACGCTATTTAAATTATTTTTATTTTTACCTATTTATTTATTTATTTGTTATGAGGTTTTAGATTGCGAAAGACACATTAGTTTTGTCTCTATTTTCTTAACGCGTAATGACTAAGATTCTTGCTAACTGTTAACATCTATTTATTTCTTGCTTACTTCTGTCAATTCTACATTGTTCATTAAAACAATGGTGAATATTGTCGGTGGTATGCAGTGAATTTGATTTACTGTATTAATTTATTATGCATTTACGTTTGGTATGTAACATATTTTTGTATATGAATTTATAACTATTTGTTGAGATAAAATGTATTAAAATTATAATTATTTTTATGTAACTTTTTATAGATTTACTTGAAAAGGGCTGCAATGACAGCCGAAACGTTGTATTTTAACTAATTATTTATAATAAATGATTGCCAGTTTGGTCGACTTTTACCATTGAGGAAAGATTTTTAGAGAATATTAAGTTATATACATACATATATGTAATGAAAAATAATTAAAACTAATTGTATATAAACTTCATATTCTCCTAGCATAGATTATATTATATTTGTAGTGCAAGCAATTATCACAGTAAAGATAAGCTCTGAACACACAACGAAGGATCTGAACGTAGCAAACTTGAGACTAGAAATATATCAGTCACGTGTGTAGGAATATACATATCCGAAACGAAACTCCGCATATGTCGAGAGTTATGAGGAAGGATTATATTTACTTACGACGTTCTCTCTGTCTCATAGTTTCTCGTTACCGCCGGAAACGACATTCCATTAATATAGTGATAGAAGTGTAAGATCGTCGCGCCACAGAGAAATTCGATGCTTCATATCGTTATTACATATACGCAAATCATCATACGATTGTAAATCTCTATTAATAGAATGATAAATGATGCTGTACGCAAATTTCTCGACAAAGGGGATCGATACGCATGCTTGTAAAGCGTTAAATTTATATAAAAAGTTATCGCAAGAAGCTTACGTCTTTCTTCAGGGAGCTTGGAAGCTCTTCCGGAGTTTTGGAAAATACTCCTTCCTACGATCCAATTTTCAGTGTTGATGCTGCGTGTACTTTATTCTTATCTCCTTTTTCAAATTCAACACCGTATACATCTATACGACGTACGCTAACTTCTTGTGTCGCTACTTTCTACGACGAGATTTAACCGCGTAATATCTACGCGACGCATCGTATTTTATTCCATTTTATCCGCCTTAACAGATTCTTCTCGATATATCGTCTGACGAGAGAGAGTGCAACCGATAAAAAGATGCAGCAGTAAAAATATATACAATATATTTCTCTGAGAATTTATGCATTTATCTGAATCTCTTTGGTATCAACCAATATATTTCTGTCATTTTTAACTATTTTATGTCAAACTTTTTTCCAACATTTTTTAAATGCATTTAGATCGTGATGCGTGAGACAGAATGTATACACGGGGGGTGGCAGCCAGATTAGTGTATGCATACAAATGCGCGAATTTCCGTCCCGCCATTTTCGCGAAACACTCGAGACACGGAACGCCAAGAATGATACTTGGCTTCGGCATCGGTAATTACATCCGATCTACGTTAATTAGTGCCCCACGGATTTTAATTCCGGGCGGAGCGCCGATATCTACCGCGATACACCGTGAGTTTTGTTCAGGGTTCACGAGAATTCGACTCTAATTAGGATGTCTGACAATGAGTTACTATTTTATCCGAATGAATCATCAATGTTGCACTTAATTCGGCAAAGCCGATGATTGGATGCCTTCATCGGATATACAAGGTTTTAAATGGACTTCAATATTGAAGTTATAACGTATTTAATTTTATTACTTGAATTAGATTTATTTTTGAAAGAGTATAATTGTGATTTGTTTAATAAAAAAAATTATTTTACCATTTTATTTAAATTTTTTTAAGTCGATTAAAATATTATATTTAATCGATTTAAAAAATTTAAATAAAATGGTATAATAATTTTTTTCCTAAACACAAATCATAAAAAATTTTAAATAAAATAATAAGTTTTGCATCTAAGAAAGTAAGTTTTTGCAAAAACAAACATTTTTTTACTACGATGAAAAATTACTCGTGTCAAAAAAAATCTGCGTGACGTAAAAAGCTGCAAGCGTTCTGATTTTGCGTTCGAGCTGCCAGCGAGAGAGAGATCAATGACCGGTCAATAATATTTTCATCTTTTATCGACACGGTCGCGCGCATTATAAAGAGTACGTGCGGGAGCGCGACTAGCTCGCATTAAACACAAACCAGTCATTAATAATGTAGAACGTGGCACCTTTAAGGCTCGCGGCCATAAATTCCGTAGCCGGGACAGGAACGGCAGTTTATCCACGACGCTCGAAATCTAATTTATTTCGCGATGCAAGCATATAACGCAGTTAATAGACGCGTGGGTACGTAGTATGCGTATACGAGAAATAAGACGATGCGGCAGCATTTATTGAGCACGTCCAGTCTTATATCGAGACGAGATATCTAC